TAAATTCTGTTCTAAAAACCCGGTTTAAAAAGGTGATTTATAATTTATTTTCTTAAAAGAGTGTTTTTTTTGTATAATTTCAGCTTGATGTAAATTAGAAAAATAAATCTCAAAAATCGCTACAATTTTCATTTTTTCTACGAATAAAGCAAAGAACGCTTAAAAGTACGGTGCAGGTCTCATTTTCGTTGAGTACTCTGAATTTTGAAAAATTGCAAATGTTCATTTTTTAAAGAAATAATGCAAGAACGTAAGTTCTGTTATAGCTTCATTAGTTACATTTGCATGGCTATTGAAAAAATCATAGAATGTTTTCAATTATGTTTAAATTAAAGGTAAAGGTGAGAAAAAAGATCATATGTGCAGCATTTAAGTATCAGCTTGCATTTAATGATTAAACGAAAAGGTAGCTACTGCGATACAACCATTGTTGTCCTAAATTCTCTCACAATGATAGAAATGATTTCTACGAGACTTGTTCAGAATGAGGATAAGAAATGTTTATAGTGCCAAATTAAATACCTATTTTACAAATTTTAAATGATTATTTTACGTTTTTACATGTCTATTTTACGGTTTTTATATATATTTTACGTTTATAATGCGTAGTTTGCCTGACTATTTCTACAGTTTTTCTTGCCTATAAATCCGCAGCTTAAATATGACAGCAGCTTAAAAATGACATCTCCCATGCCGACTATGCTAACTATGACGGTTTCACTGAAGTCCTTTCTCATCAACTCTCGCTTTCAGAAACGTCGGTGATTTCATCACCGTCTACGATGACTCTCTGGCAACTCAGCTCATGACGATTTTTGTGACGCTCCCTCTAGTTCACCGATGACGATTCTTTATCGAGTTTTCACCACCACTATTCCTATTATCATCATCCGGCATCCATGAAAGCCCCGTCCATGGCCACGACACACCGTCGCCAGTTGAGATTGTCGGCACCGCGGCTGTCCATCACCGCTAATGACATTCCGCCTTCGCTAATGATTCCAGTCGTTTTGATTCTTTGAAAATAATAACAGCTTTCGCCAGAACACAATCTGGAATAGTTTGTCGAAAAAAAAAATCAACAGCCCTTAGAAAGCACATTGTTGTTGTTTTTCTCAAATTTAAACGATAGAGTTTACTTTTGTGACGCACATTTCTATTGTAAAAATACGTTTCCTACCTTCCGTAATATTAAAAAACTATTCATATTTTAACGTGGGGTTTAAATTTAAGGCTCAGAATTTTGAGCACATATCCATGTTCAAAATGTGTCTTGTAGTATTGTTTCATAATTGCATTACTTAACTTGTAAAGTCACATCTGGAAAAGTAAATAGAGTTACACAAAACTATGACAAAATATCACCTGAGTATCATCTGAGTATTTAAAGTAATAATATTACTGTGTGTTAATATTACAAAAAAATAGTATTTACTATCTAGACTTAAGAGAAAAATACTGCAGTTTGTAAACCATTGAGAAATAATTAAGGGGAAAATAATAAATAAGGGAAAATTACAATACGCCATAATAAAATTGAATTTTGAACGGCCAGCCCTTTAACGGCAGCATCATGGGCCCAGTACTCGGCGAGCGTAATATTGTGAAGCGTTGACATGAAATTGTATAGTAAATAAAACTGTCCCAATAATTGCATCAAGAAAGCTTATTTCTGTATTTTTCATTCAATTTATTTTACATAGATTTCGAGTTATGCACTAATCTGGCCACCTATGCTAGGAAGTGGGATCATCCAAAAGAACTAAATCTCCAAAAATGAAAAAAAATGCTCACAAAAATATCTCATTTTTCAGAATACTGCTTAGGAAACAAATTCAACCCTTACCTGTCCTTCATTTCCCCACATGTCCTCACCACTTCAGCCGCGGATTTTTACGTGGCTTCAAGCTAAAATGTTTGTGAGCCCCCCTCTTTTTTCTGTCAACAATAACATATTTGAAATTGGAGATTTTAACATTTTTACTCACCATGAATTACACAATTACAACATGCCGTTAAATAATAATTTTATTCTAATTTTAATAATAATATGAAAATGTCATTCTCTCCAATATAATTCAACACTTCATTTATTATAAATAAAAACTGAATAAAAAAAGAAATTTACGTGAATTTGTGCTCACAAAATCAGATACAGTATCGTCGAAAGATAAAACCTCAAAGCCTATTATTTTCACTGAATATTGTCAGTTAATTGAATTTGTCTTGTCCCATTGTAGCTCGATCCTAGTTTTTAATACTTTTAAGTTATCTAAATGATTTATTAAATTGATCTTTCACCTGTACAATTTGTAGTCATTTATTTATTTGTAGTCAATCATTTGTTTAAAAATTCCAAAGGCAACCACAAAGGGTCACTCATACCTCTGTGTGTGAGCTCAAAAACACCAAACTATATCAAAGAGACCATTTGAATCGGCCAATCTCAACGCTGTGACGGATTTTGCCTTGACTGCTTGTGTGTCATGCATGTGACAAGTTTACAACTTATTTTATAGATATTTATAGGTAAGGCGGTCTTACAATAAATCTGTTATTAACTCCGATAGCGAGTTTATCAAATTTATTTAATTTTTATTTCTTTATTGGAACTAATAAATTTGTGTAAGTGTACTTTCATAAATTTGTTCTGTAAATTTGCATTTTTTGTAATAATGTTTTAGGCCTCTTAGTTCCTGAGTTGTAACTTATTGAGCTGAACTGCACTGCACCTCACCTGTGCCACTGCACCTCACCTGTGCCTTATCATTTACGCAGCTCTCTCAACATGTCTCCCACCTGTTCCCCAAAACTCATGTCTCCGTGTTTAGATGTAAAACTGAGAAGTAATTCTCTATCCAGCAGAGAGCAGAACTGAGAAGTAATTCTGCATACTATCTCAAGCACATTTTGAGGGTTTTGTGTCGATGGTTTCTTACAGATCGTTTCAATTTATTACATATCTTTAGCGTGTTATACATCGAAGTAATTGTTTAATTAATCTTTTAAATATTTTCATATATATATATATATATATATATATATATATATATATATATATATATATCTCACACAAATATTGAAAACTAACAAAATACCCGACGAGCCTTCTTCATATCCAATCCTTGTAAAAGAGGAAAAAGATCAGTTTTATATAAACCACGGTGTGTAAGAGTATCATTTTTAATATACATGGTACAAATTTTAATAAAATGTGATAATTTTATTTTATTTTATTTTATTTTACAATATATCGCTAATGGATTTTTTATCGTACTCACTGCTACTGACCTGTGGCGGAGTATATTAGGAACCACATGCTCTTAGCGAGAGGCGAACCGTGGTCCATCTACCAATATCTTAATGAAACTATTTATTTTCCGCATCTTTATTAACTTTGCAAGAACACTGAGACAACCCTGAAGAAGAGTCTGTAAAAATGTGTAATCTATTCACACAATACTTATTTTGTTATCAATGTCAGTTACATGGGGTTGAATTCACTTCTATTAGTAGAGATATATCGAGATCGATAATATTTTTTACATTAAATATTTCCCGAAAAGTTTTGAAGTGGTAAATATTTTATTTTGTTTATTTTCGGGACCTGAACACGAATCTGGGCTTTTGCAGATCAAAAACATGACTGTACTTTTTTAAATGTAAAAGAAAATAATAGAACATTTTTTTACTGTACGTGGTTAAAAATGCACTAACTGAAATACAATATAAGATACAAAGTGGTCTGTAATGGGTATTTGATTATTGCTTGAAAGAAATCAGGCTTTTTTCAACAAGAGGGAGGGGGATTTTTAACAATAAAAGTATATTATTACTAAACATCGGATGTTAAGGATGAACGTATTTAATTGCTTTTAGTATGTGTGCATGATCTATGAAACAATAAAAGACTTTTGTGAAATTTTTATTTTCCTTTTTTTAGCCTATTGTGACAAAAATTACTCTTCACGCATGTTTACTATCTAAATGCATTTACAAACAAATATTTCTCCTTCTTCTCTAGGTAAAAATAAACGTTTCAATCATTTTCAGTTTTTGTACACCGAATAGGTAACACTGGTAACAAACCATCTTTTTTGAGTAGATTAATTTTGTATTTTGGTACACACCACACATTTTATACCTTGAGTCCAAAAGCCGATTTCCCCGCACTTATTCCGACATTGATATTCTACCTTACCAGACGTTCTGCAGGAAGGTAAAAATGAAGGTTCTTGGAATTCAAAGAATTAGTCGTTAGGTCACTTTTCTATCCGATGTCGCATTAGACATAAAAATAAAATGGGGATGCAGCTATGGGCATGATATATGTTGGGAAAATACAAAATTACATTGTATCTAGTTTTCCTGAAAGTAGTATCTTAAAGGGGTAAATAAAAAAAAGTGATATGAAGAGGCTGGCCGGGGAGAGCGGAGGTCTGTTATCAGGGGTACGATTTACATACTATATACGGGTGGCAGTGTCCGTTCCAAGAAATCGGTAGTTGAGAGCGGTGGTAGTTTAATAGCGATGTTTCAAAGAGGTATCGTTGTACTATAATGTCCTAATTAAGAATCAAACGAGAAACCGCGTGCGAAAAACGTTGCCCACTCGTGCGCTCCTACGTATTGCGTTTTACTACGTCATGCCCATGTATCGAATGGGATCAACAGATTGGAACATGACAAATTTCTCATTGTAGAAAGCTGCCATATGCAAATTATTTTACATCAAGTGCGAACAAGGAGGTGATTGACATCTTTGTAGATTCAATTAAATTGTTACGCAACAAAGTGAATAATCATGTAAATACCCATTCTTAACAATCTGTTATACTTTCATATTAAGGAATTTGTGAACTTGTGAACAATAAATAAATAAAATAAATTAAATAAATAAAAATGAAATAAAATAAATTAAATAAATAAAAATGAAACAAAATAAACAAAAAATAACGCCAGACATTTCAGCTAGTAAAGAAGTTAATTGGTGTGCGCAGACGCTGGACGAGATGGAGCGAGTGCGCAAGGAGATCACCAACATGGAGGGCGCGTTGCGGGACAAGATCGCGTCGCAGATGCTGGCGGAGACGCGCCTGGAAAATCGCTTGATGCGGCCCAGCCCCGAGCTGGTGCGCGACGACCCGCACGCAGGCCTGGCCGACGAGGTGGTCACCCTGCGCCAGACCAACATCGACCTCACCGAGCGCACCAACAAGCTCAAGTGGGTACCCTTCAGTGCGTGGCGCCATCACGTACCTTTCACCTCGTGGCACTGCAGTGTCTCTGACCGGAAGGCCCTAGGGTTTGCGTTCCGGCGATGGCAGGATTTTCGACACTACATAGTACTCCGAGTTCAGCAGTTTTCTGGAGGGCAATTCTAGCGGTCAGCTGCTTTGATAGTTTTGAGTAGTTTTCTGCTGATTGAGTAGTTTTCTGTGGTTTCTGCGGACACTACCCCGAGAACGTCGTGGCACTGACTTAAAACGGACATCGCGCTAGCTTTCCTTCCTCATCGTTGCATTTTCTTCTCCCCTTTCACACACACCCAATTGCGAACAGAATATCTCCGCACGGGGAGGAAGCCACGTGCCGGAGAGGAGAGAGAACCCCGGAAGCATACGTGTGGGGCGGCGGCCGATCTTAAGAGGATACCACCACATCGGGAATACAACACGCACCATAGATGGTGTTTTTGCAATACTGGCTTCAGATTAGGATTCAGCGCCTCAAAATACATAGAGAAATATGTATCAAGTCTTTGGGTCTGATAATTTATTTTGTGTATGCCTGCATAATAAATGAATCAATCTTTCATTTTTTCGAGGATCTCCATACCTATATGCAAGGGGATTTTTGATCGTGCAGGGGGATGCCGTATAGAAAGACGGACTCCAGTAGACGCGCTATAGAGTTGGCTAATTGCTCGCGCACAGGCGCACACAGCCCTTTTCCCTACATTCTCTCACCTTAGACCCCGCGCGGAAGGCATTTTGTTTTTCAGAACTCAGGGATAACTTGTTGTTTTTTTAGCAGCAATAGTCGTTTGATTTTCGTATGGCATGTTTTTTCAGTTCTCTCTGTCCATGCTTATTATGCATATTATTCACATTTTCATCACTTCTTACGTTCGTTCCTCACGTTGGCATTTCATTGAAGTAAAAGCCAAGATACGTATTATATTTGTTGGTAGAGTATTTTTATGTTGGAGAGGGACTCTTGTGTACGGTATAAACTTTAATTACTGAGGCAGATTGGTTTTATCATCAGGTGATCCTAACACTTAATCGATATTAACCTTGATAGATCTCTTTTCCAGAAGTAATAGTCTCGAGAAGTCCACACACTGGTGTTGAGATTATATTTTTGAAAAATGTATTTTACCAAAAATCGTACCTTATTAAATATGTCTGGATTAAGCTAATTACACTACTGACTGACTAATAACACGTTTGAAAATTATACGATTGCTTTCCGGATGTAGTATATATGTATGTATGTATGTATGTATGTTTGGATAAGCAGGGATCTGAAATTCTTAGGGGAATTTTGAGGAATGATTTTGGGATAATTTGAGTCCATCGTAGAAACCATACCCAACAGATTTTTAAATTCTTTGTCACGCTTCTAAATTTCTATTGACTCTAAAACAATATTTGTTTTATTATATTATTCCGTCAGTGTGCTGCATTAAGTTACCTGAGTACCTGCGTGTGTGTGTGTGTGTGAATGCATGTGTGCGGAAAATAGGGAAAACCCACTGTTGTTTGTGATTGGAGGTTATCGTGATTATGCACTATGGCTTCCGAGAACCTCGTGGTATGTGGTATGCTCATGCTCTGTGATGTCATGAGATTTTATTTATCGTTCTAAAAGTCCTGTGTTTGGATGCCACTTCCGACAAACGTTCTTTCTTCTGGAACACGTGAATGAATGATTAGTACCTAAATGTTTATAAGATTTACATTGAAAACTCGGAAGCTACCACATACACTTCGTTGTGTTCTGTGTATCACGTTTTCTCAAATTCGTTAAATCTATTTATCTCTGCTATCAAATTAGGATCAGTATTGGCTCTGGCAAGTAGTACATAATAAGCCTCGTTTACATGACAAACACTAGTTGTTCAGCAGCACAGTTGCGTTAAAAAGTCGCTTTTCCAGCCTTACACTGAGAACAGCGCATGTGCTGTGTTGCTTCTGTTCTGGGGTTTGGAAATCTGTGCTTGGGCAGGTTCACCAAAACTCCGAAATCGTTTCAAATAGAAAAATAATTTGGAGGAGTGTTGTAGGAATCGTTTCTCCCCGTTTCTCCCCGTTTCTCCCCGTTTCTCCCCGTTTCTCCCCGTTTCTCCCCGTTTCTCCCCGTTACTCCCCGTTACTCCCCGTTACTCCCCGTTACTCCACATTAATCATTGAAATTAGAACATGATAATGACAGACCGAGATCGAGATCGCTGCTGGGGGGCTTTAGAGACGAAGAATTGCGGGTTTGAATGCCATCTCCGCGATGGATGTTTGCTTGTATATTGTAAAATGATGAGGCTCTTGCAACCATTATCGTTGAATCCGTTTCTTTGCATTTCTGGCCGGCGTAGGTGATGCAGATGCTTGAGGCATCAGATCCCAAGAGAGCGTTGCATTCGGTCTGTGGGTTCGAGAATATGGACGTCCATGTGCTTCCCACGACTCTTAATCCTTACCTTATTTGCGTTCCCTTCCCAGGTTTTTACTGAAAGAGTGGATAAGTCCAGGTGCGCGCCATCTGTAGGGTGGGCTGTCTCCTTCCTTTAATTCAGAGCTAAGCGCGATGGGCTCACGAACTACGCTTATCCGATATAGAATGTACAATAACATTAAGGGCTCACAAGCCATATCTGAATAATGGATAGGAAAACTGGCAGTCACCATAATGGCTGCCCCTAAAGGAACAGTCTCAGCTGGAGAGGGGGTCGTCTGAAGTCACCAGGTGCCAAGAGGTAAAAGATAACACTCGCTGACTCATAATTAATATTTATAACGCTAACAATTGGTGTATTTAACGACTTTCGAGAGTATAAACAATTTTTGAATATGTATTATTGACTTCTGGGTGGGTTGGTGGGTGGGAAGGAGATAGAAGCCACATTGGATGTGCCACACTGTACATGGTCCATCATAATACTGACTTAGCGATACCCACAGGAAACAGAATTTTGCTTGAGCAACAAGCTATGCCACTTCTTCTTCGTCTGTAGGTCTGAGGAACATCTTTGGTAATTATAAAACTTGATTATACGTTCTGTTTAGGATTATGTCTATTAACGGCATAAATTTGCAATATGTCATTTGAGCTTATAATATTTAATAAAAACATTTTGTGTTGTTTTCAAATGCTGGCGTGAAGATGCAGCTTTAAGAGGATCAGACAGATGGTAATTACGTGACAAGATTAGAACTGTTTCTGGGATGCTCGGACATCTCGAAAAACAGATTTTGAAGAATTTGGACGGTGATACGATTTAATGACTGAATCTCATTGAATATGTTTAGAATGTTTCAGTACCTCACTGAGAATTTTTGAATTTTTTATTTACTCCGAAAGAAATTTCCGTTCAATTGTTGCAAATAGCAGATGAAACTGGATTGAAACGTAAGTTCCATGATTTCTTCAATCTTTAATTTTATTCACTGAAAGGACTTGATGTGTCGTTCTCAATAACAACAATATGGCAAAGAAACGAGATAACACTCGAAATAATTTCTGGGTTAGATTCAAAGGAGCAAATGTCATCCTTGGAATGGTTCATAGATTGAGAGTGAATGAACTGCAGCTCTAAAACTGAATGCGATAGAGTTCATTATTTAAACACAAAGAAATCTGTAAAAGAGAAACAATTCGATTTATGTACATTTTTTTCTTAAAATGCTTACTTAAAAGTTGCAGAAACTCGCCTCACGATCTTTTGAGCCTCCTCGTATATCAAATTTCCTTTCAATTGTGAAGCCAAATGAAACTCCCCGGAAACTTACAGATGACGCTATTCTAAGAACCGCACATGATCGACGTACTGCGATATAATTTGTGACGATTTTTTTGTGATCGTGAAACGACCCCAAGTTTAAATGAGTTATCTGCGGCTCTTTTGAACTAATGTCAACGCAGAGGTCAAGTTGAGTAAAACCGAGAGACCATACGATTTATTTTATTGAGTCTAGACTATAGTACTAAGAAAACGTCTTTCTTGCGCTTGAGAACTTCAGAATCCTGCTACGTTAAAATAAATATTTGAAACTTATTTTAGTGTGGAGATACAGATCGACATCAAAAGCAAAATCTTTACAACACAATTTTCTTGTAATTCGTTTGTACTCGTACTATTTTTTTCTGAAAACAAGTGTACCATTGACCTTCAATTCATTATTCTTGATGTTTTATTTTCACTTTAATTTTAGTTTCGTTTTTAATAACGTTTAATTTATAAGGAAGTATCATTTTAAAAATATAATATTGAAGTTGAAGAAGTGAAAGAAATTACATCTGAAGGTCACTATAAAAACTAAAAATCTTAAGGGACTAAAAAAATACTATTCTTAATCATTAAAGAAAATAACTATTTTTTAAACATTTGAACATGTAGGCAGGAAACATATATTCGTAATGACATGTTTAAAATATGTTCTCTAACAACGGCTATGATATGATAAAAGATGAGGAAGGAAGTAGTAAACTGCTCCGAATTATTTGTGTGTGTGTGTAGCCTTGGTACTGCGTGTGACATCAGGCATGAACTATTTGTTCTGCATGTGACTTTAGGAAAGTCCCTTTATATTAACTGTTGGATGCGGAATGTGCTTCATGCCCGGGCCGGATTTAGACGAAGATGGACATGTGACACACGAGGTAATCTTTGGGGTGGATGAGTGGACGGAAACGAGAAGTGGAATACTAAAACAGAATATACTGGGAGAGCATGGTAATTGAATATTCCCGGTATTCCCGTCATTCCTAACACGTGAATCTGTTGCGAATTTTAGCATTGAATAATTTTTTATATAATTCATTACATTCCTAATTTTGTACAAAGTTATATTAAAAATATAATTAAATCAAAACAAATGTATTTTAATATTTTGCCTTTTTTATTTATGATCACATTAACATCTAGGTCATTAGCGACCACTGTTGATTAACAACAGGGTTAACAGTATGATGTGAAAGGGTGAGGGGTGAAAGGACGAACACAAATACAACCATGCCCGAGGCGGGACTCGAATCCGCAATCTATGAGTACATTGCCTTTTAAAACACATAACAACAGAAGAAATTATTTTGAAAAATGTAGAATTGAATTTGTACAAATAATTGAAAAAATATATCACCAGAAAAATATCTGTACTGTTTCGTTAAGAATTCCGTCAATCCAATGTCGAATTTTAAAACATTTCCTCTGCAGGAACATTAACAAAAAGTACTAAAATATTTGCATTATATAACTTATTTTGTCAACAAAACTTTAGAACTCTTAGCTCTCCTCTAAATACTATCATCAACGCACGAAACAATTTTAACGGCTCTTCCTTGCATTCTACCACCATCATCAATTTTGATACACACGCTCTGTAATACCTATTTTATAGACCATGTTGTTGTTGTTGTTGTTGTATAATGTTCCGACTCCAAGATCTTGTCCACTGGTACACACTCTACAAGGCTATAATATCGGGTATTTTCTATGTAATAAACATGGGCTCTCAACGTTATCATGTAGTTTTGACTCCCCTACTCACCACCAAAGACTGACTCAACCATGGTCTGAGACATTTTAGTTTCTTGTTTAATGTTCCTTATTTTTTTATTGACAGCGAAATACTCTTAATACATTTTAATTACACATATTGCTAATTTATTTATCTTCATTATTTTTCATTATACATTTTAAAACTATTGAGTATCGCAAAGTTTTGGAGACGTTCCTTTCCATCTTCAGGTACATATCATTTTTTTAAACATGCCAGCAAGATTATTGATATTGCATTTGTAGATGTTTTGTCAAACACTTTAATGATTTGTATTCAAAGATTTTCCAAAGCCAGTTCAACAAGTATCTTCAATATTAGGTGAAGTTTTCTTCAACACAATTATTTCAGGTCATTATACAGCTTTCCAGAAGACTCCATCAGCAAAACAAAAAAAAACAAAAAATTAAACATCATACTAAATTATCAATGACAGTCCTCGGAACTCTTGAGTCCTTTAATGCGTTGTGGCATCGTTCCCCGGGTAAGCGAATCCAGCTAGGACAGGCATTTTCTGAGGATTCAGTTTTGCCCGACAATTGCCTACAGATTCTTTGCCACGGGAGTGACACGCCGTATTGAGAATTTCCTCGTTCGCCTTTGGAAATCCACCTCCAACAGTGGGGTTCGAACCACGATCTTGAATTCCCAACTAAGATACGGTACAAAAGTGATTTCAAAATAAACACTGATGACAACAACAATGATGAGTGCAATGACCAGTAAAAGTGATCAGTGAATCCCGTTCGACAAAGACTTGAAGAATGCAGAATAAATGGCATAATGATAGAGTGAAAATATACGTTGAATTGAAATTAAGTTAACAAACAATAAAATAAGTCTTAAAGAAATGAACAACACAGGAATTGTCAAGTAACATTTTTTTCTTGATATTACAGGTACAAGTTTGAGAATGACATTTTTGTGAATTTAGAATCCCTCCTTACATCTAAAATGTTTAAAAAAGTATACAATTTTCCAGAGCGATTAAATATTATTAATCGATTACTTAAAGTACCTTTTGAAGTAATGTATACGTGTTAGAGTATATATTTTTTATTTATTATAGTCGTATTAATCAAATGTTCTTAGCTTCTTTGCAGTATTTTACATTAAGGTTCGATATTTGATTTTACATTATATACAATGTTTACAATAATGACTGGTTATGATGTGTTCGTTCATTTGTAGGACGAATCAATAAATGCATTGAGGTTCAGGGCCATCATTTTGAGCACTTACTTTAAATAAATGCTGAGGTATTTGTTGAATCATCTAAAACCAGCACTCCGAAAGTGAGAGGCAAAGGGGACTCACTGAAAACAAGCATCCCGAAGGGAACTGAAAACTACTACGTCCACGTCGTCGTTCCTGGGTTACGCTAAAAGTAGTTTATTGACTTCCGTAGAAAATACTGATTTTTATTAACCGCTCAGAAATAACTGACCTCGCCCAAAACCACTCAAATTAGTCTGAAATCTTCGGGAATTAAATTTTTGCGATTACAGCGCCACCTATCACAAATCAGAAAAAGAAGGATTTAAATTGATTGTAAGATATTTACTTCGATTGTCTTCAATAGTTGATTTATTAGGAGATATTAGTTTCTCTACAGTTCTACTGTTATTTCAGATTTCGCGGGCTCATTTAGTTGTTCTTTTTAGGTTGTTTCTTTAAGGTAGATATCTTCTGTATTTGCTTTGCTTGTGGTACTTGAAGATTCAGGAATACAGGTACATTTGAAGTAGGTGCCGACTGCTTTTCATTTGCTGGGAAGACACTGCTTTTGGTGTGATTTTGATGAGGGACATTGGTGGGCAATGTGACCTTCCTGCTTGCGCAGGAAACATACAACATTGTCAGAGGAGAAGTAAATACGGTATGTTGTGTCTTGATGGAATAGCAGTGCAGAATCCGGTAACTTGTCAATATCATTCGGATCAATATAAATCTGCTTCGTAAAGCACAGAGTATGAGAAAAGCTAGGTTCAGAGATCCCGGCTCTCATCAAAGACATCTTAGTGGGGGGCTTGACGGTGTATTTAATACGCTCAGGATTAGCTCGTTATAACAGCATACACAATAGGTATCCTGTATAACAGGACACACTTTAGAGATAATCACCCTTACTTGTTTATTGATGAGTGATCGTATATTCAGTTTAAAGTATCAATACTGATAAATGTGTGTATTCACAATATGTTCAGTAATCTTTAGAGTTAACAAAGATAAACAGATTCTGTTATTACAGATTCTTGAAACAAAACGAATATCTGAAGGGTTAACGATTGTGGCAATTTTAGATACATAATCCTAGATGCTAACATCATATTGGGCTTCAGTCACAATTGCTTGGCTTTTGTTAGGGTAAATTTCCGACTGCACCGCAAGAGAAAAGGTTTTGCTTAATGATCTCTCGGTTCTGTAGGTTTTGTTGCCGTTGGTGAATGTTTCCATCATGGTACAACATGTAACAACTGATTCTTCTTATTAAATCGATGGAGAATACAATACTTATAAATATTGACACTCACTCGTGTAACAGTTTCCCACAACCTCGCAGCGTGCACACCACAAACACGTCTACTGTCCACGGACGCACCATAGCCAATCTGAGTAGATTTTATTTTTTAGAAAAACAAAATGTATAGGTGGTCGTGTATATATGTTTTAAAATTGCTCCCTTTGGAAAAAAAGGAATTTTTTATTCAAAGTATTTTAATTTGTAACGAAAAAGTGCCATCAAAACTAGGAAAGAAAGGTTATTGATTTTCAAATTGTCGTTCAGCAGTACGTAGAGTAGCAGTGTCGTGTAGCCAATAATCTCATTACATCAGTGGATTCATGCTTTTCATGCTTTTATATATATTAAAGACCACATATGAAGAATCGAACTTGTAATCAAATATTGAAGCAAATGCTTTCACGATCCTCTCACCAATCTCAATTATTATGTACAACATATACTCACCAAACAGTTATGATTTTATCATACAAGAGTTCGACTTCCTGCTAGTTGTTTCCTATTTTCTAGCGTTACTACTGCATAGTTGCAGGGTCAACAAGGCCTTCTCGCCTGCTTATGCCCGTTAGGACGGCACTTACTCTGTCAAGTGGGCTTGTAGATTATGGAATGAATATGATGAAGGAAGGGAATAAGAAGGGACGATCGCGCGCAGACTGTGTAAGTTATGCTGCTCAGCCAATCGCCCGGAAGTGATCAGGGAAACCACTGATCCAAACAACGTGCCTTTAGTTCTCCTCGAGCCATTCGAGTTGCCTTTACTTTCGCAGCACCGGCGGTGGTCGGATTCCTTCCCTCGTTGGTTGCATTTTTCCAGAACCAGGAGAACGTGTTGCAACGATTGCTTCCCACTGTCCCGCCACCATACGAATACTTCTCGATCGCGCACTAACAGTGGACCTTTCCTTTGTTCCTCAGGGCGACGTACAACGGGCTGGAGAACCTTATGGTGAACCTGGATCGCGAGATCGCCAGCAAGCAACACGCCATGAATCTGGACTTGGCGTGTCTGGACGTACGAGCCAAGCTGTACGCGCGCACCCGCGCCAAACCCAGCAGCCAGACGGCGCGTAACGTGCAACTCGTCCGCATGGAAGACGAGATCCCTCCCGAGTGAAGGACGACGCAGCTCCTCCGACAAGGCGCCTTTTTGCTTTTACTGTATTTTACTGCATCGCACTCCTCACTTGCTATTTTACTGTCTCTTCATTTCGAATTAAAGAATACAGCGGGAAAACGTGTACTTCGTACTTCCCATTAATTACCAATTAATTGATGTACAATTATAATTTTACTCAGAGTAAGGTACTGAACAGAGTGTAAGGAAGTGCAAACTGAGAAATATGAAACTTCACGTCATGGTCTATTGTTTTAAAATAATCTGAATTTACCTTCTTTCTCATTTTACTCTCCCGAATACGTATGTATATATGGAGTAATTTACGCGTATAGGAAAAGAATTTTCGTATTTAGGAAAAGTTATGTAATGCTGCGGAAAATCGACATCGAGATTTCAACGGATATACACGTTTTGGGGTCCCCTGACACCGAAAAAGCGTTTTTTTTACAAAATCCGTCCGTCCGCCCGTCCGTCCGACTGCCTGGTGTATGTGAACAACACTAGCGCCTAAACCATGCGTATGCCTATTTCCAAATAGAATAAGCATCAGTCCATTTGGCCTGAGTCGAACCTCTGCGATTTTGAAAATCCTTCATTAGTTTTGGAAGGTACTTTACATGAAGTCCCTGGGACATTTACAAAATTTTCTCAAAAATAGCTCCAATTTTTTTCTTTTTAATTTTTTGCAAGGAAAAATAGTAAAATTCACATATAAATGTGGCGAAGGTCCGATTATCACGGTTATCCCTGAATTTTCGAAAATTTAAAATGTTTGAATTTTCGTCAGAGTCTTTCAAAAACAAAATTAAAAATTGAGATCTTTTCTTCAAATAAAATGTGTTGTGCATCACTTGTTCTTTGATTAAGGTCATGTACATTTTTTTAAAATTTTAGTAGTTTTCGAGCAATATTGCATGCAATTTTCAAAAATTACTAAAACATTATCTCAAAAACCGCTCTAATTTTTTAAAACTTGTGGTCGGGATTGTTCTAAATGCACTCTGTGAGATAACATAAATTCCATATTGGTGTATTCTTTTGTATTTTCATAAATAACAAAAATGTATTTTTTTACTTGTATTTCACGTCGTTCATATTTACATTAGCAGCTATTTGCTTACATTATTATATTTATGAATGCACGCGATTTAAATAATCACATAAATCTTCTCGAAAACTCAAGCAAAAACAGTTTTCTGTGAAAACTAACTCAAAATTTCGCAATTTCAGAAACAGTCAAACACCATTTTCTCAAAAACGGCTCTAACTTTTTCTTCAAATTTTTCGAACGTATAGTGCTAATTGCGCTCTTTAATATGACGTAAATTTCATTTAGGGGTATTTATTGTTTTTGAAAAAATTACACAAATGTATTTTTTAAATATTTCTCACACCGTTAATATGAACATTTCCAGTAATTTGTAAACACGATCATGTTTGTGAGTTAATATGCTTCAAATGACTTCTAATGAAGGTTTTCGAAAACTCAAAACGTTTCTGTGAAAAGCGCCATTTTCTTAAAAACGTCTCCAAATTTTTCAAAGAAAGTTACCATTTAGGACGCGATTTTACCGTTCTTTAATATTATTAAAATAATATTTCCTTTCCATTGTTAGTAATCCGAAAAATTAAGAAAATTAAAAAAAAAATGTGAGAGGCAACAGGCGAATTGCTAGCCGAGATCACAGAAAGAAACTAATACGGGAAAGTCTGTGCCATTGTATTGCACCACTAGTGTAATATATATGTATAATATAATTTTTTATCACTGTGTACACGAATGAACATTCGCTCCCTAGTAAACGATCATACATCTCAACTTCTCGCATGCCGCAAGGCACTTCATTTTTATTTGATCTTTGCTATTTATTGAAATGGTATTTCATCATTTCTTCATTTCAATTTTAGTAACACAGTAGTAAATTAAACTGTAATATTTCATAATTTACTTTCGTGCTGTATTGATTACTTGACATCAAATTTATTCTTCACAGAATACATCATATCCAATGAAGAACAGAATGAATAGAGAAGCGAGGGACCCTTCGTAGACACCTAATATCTACGTGAATGCTTGTGCTTTGACTGTCTTCTTGTCACCGAAATTTAGAAGTGATTTCAAGTTTAGCCGACAATAATAAAATTTCGTAAAAAAAAATATGTAAATATCTTAAGGTAACCTCTACGCAATCTTGTTTTCGATGAACAGTGGGTAAGAGCAGCACCCAGGACATTTGCTCACTTTAACCCAATGCCACATTTTTCATACCTGGTCTAGCGTAAAATTCCTCATGCACTTTATGTTCCAAAATCTTACTCTATCACTTTCAAAGATTGTTAACCTCGTTTATCACAAATTGAACTTCGACCACTTCCTCCGTTTCTAAATTTGCATTTCTTTGCCCTCTCGAGAGTACTTTGAATAAAAATGTTTCTTCTACATTTCAACTCAAAAGTGCAGTTTTTTCTGTTGTAGGAAGGACGTGTGTGAAAGTTCAATGTATTAAAATCAGTATCAGTAAATGCTTTATCTTGAAAATATAACACAATTTAAATAAAAGTACACCTATCACGCACAAATATTTTCCCAATTTACTATCACTTTGAAGATAAATTCATTTTTGAAACATCTACATGGAAATCAAAAATCATATATTCGCTAACTCCCTTTCAACTTCTTTTTATGTTACTTCATTCAAAAGATGATGTTTGGCCTTGGTACAATCATGGCCATGGTACGATTTAGTCATGGAGTGTTAATTAAGGTTTAAATAACGACAGATATAATAAATTAATTTTAATAAATAAATTAATCGTTAGATACTTAATAGCCATAGCTCTTTCTGACACTGCCATCTATGTGACAATAACTGAGATTTGTCTGAAAAGTTTTTGTTTCCAAGAGGGTCAGAAAAATTTCATTTCACTCAGGTATATCGGTCAATATTTCGTGAATGTAATTCCTCCGTAAATGTACTGCATTATTGGAATGTCTGTCTAATCGATAGCTTAAAGTTTACATGCGATAGTTAATTCTATTTTGTTGTGGCAATGAAAGACATTTGCATGCGTTTGCACATAGGAGGGCGATTGACAAATTAAGCTGAATTTTGTGATCCAACCCAAAACTTAAGAATTCTTATGCATGTTTTCTAGAGTACTAAATTTTAACTTCCTGAATATTTTCGCATCCGGAACAATGACGAAAGTTTTTTTTTCTCTAATATAGTATCTTAATTAGGCGTAGACATTTATTGAGATGGAATTGTCAATCACGGTTTGAAATACTGAAAAAAAAATCTAGTATTGTTCAGTACCTGCTTGACAATATTAGGTAGGCCCATATCTCGCAAACTCGGCGCCATATTCTATAGGGAAATGGTATCATCTGAAGTACCTGTATGGAACCCATAAGCAGTGTGTAAGCGTTAAAGGCTAAATCTGCTGATTTAGCCTTTGATGCGAAGGAGAACTTGTTTGGCATTCTATGTACAATTGCAGTTTTGAAAATATTGCACTCAGAATTACGGGATGAAGGGAAAGGAAAATTCACTTCGCTTCAAATTCTGAATTGACGAGTACTAGAGAAGCGAACTTCCGGAAAATCCCTTCAGGCCAAGTGTGGGCGCACAAAACAATGTCGAAATATTGTCAGGGCGCAGATTGGACATTTTCTGCAAGGGAGGGTCAAGATTTTTTTAAACGTGAATAATTATTGAGACCTGTATCTAAATCCGATTGTGTAATTCCGTGGTGTAATTACGAAACCATCTTTTTCTCAATTTTTTGTCCGTCAAAATTGAAGAATGAAATAGTCAATAATAGTGTTCGATCTAATAGTGTCAAAATATCCCAAAACAAATACATTTCAAAAGCATCATGAAATATATCAAATACAAGGCAGAAGTTTTTTTTTTATGACATGGAAAATCATCAAAATTCTTGCCCTATTGTTATATCCCCCCCAAAAAAAGTACAGCAATTTCTAAAATTATTTTTATTATCACAAGCCAACAAGAGATTCACCAATACATGCCAGATCGAACCATATTCCGGGAGATATGCCGTGGTCTTTGCGATGTTCACTGTTTCGCTGGAGGAAGAGTCCGATTTCGTAGCCGTTCTGTAATACACTTCGCTTAACGCTATACACACTTCACACTGGCTACCACTCGCCGGGCACCGCTCTTATAGTCCGCCCGGGCTGAAGGTCCGCCGGCCAGCTGCCCGATAAGGGTGGGTTCTCCGGGGCTTGGCCGAGCGTGACGGTTCCGCGGCGTCAGTAATCGGCACCCTTTCTTGTGCGGTGCCGGAACCACTTTCCGGCGGCAACTTCAAAAGCGCGCGTTCGACCATATAATTAATCAAGAGATTGTTTATGTGTAGTATAATATAATATAATACATAATTAAAATAAATTGAACAGAAATGAATAACTGAATAATTGCACCAAAACATTTTAAAATAAAGGATATCTATATTTATTATCTTCCTTTATTTTCTTTCAAAGCATAACTTGTATTCTGTTATTATATTTTTCTGTTTGAGTTATCCCCATCCATTTTTCAATTGTCATATTTTGTTATACAATAATAGTCCTCTCCAGTTTTATTGTAACAAAATAACGTATCACTTCTGCTGCACTAGTTTAGAAAGTTTAGATAAATACAAATTTTGCCAAAAAAATATTCGATTGTCCCGTTTGTACCAAATAATTGTATTTAGAATTCAGACTGCTTTTTCGTCTATTAATGTTAATGTTTTGTAACACTTATACCTTGTTTTATAATACTCATACCCTGTATGGTAATAAAATATCAATTGTAAATTTAAATTTTGATTTTACTTATTCCTCCCTCCGTCCGAAACGATTTATCAACAACAGCGAAATATCTAGCGGTATTTGAATACCGCTAGAGAAATTAGTGATACAAATTAATACGATATTATAGATTCAACGCGTCTTTGTACACGCTAGTGTCGTAAATGCATATTGATTTCATAACAGAATGACTCCCTATGAGTTTCAAAAAATTCGGGCAATGGCGATATCGTCTAATCGGCCCCTTATGTCCTATTATGTTCCTAATGGGGAGATATATTAACCATTTTGCAATAGACACACTTACAGGTTCACAATGTCTTCCGCGAAAACGCACATACATGAAAGACAAGAGACAAATAACCATCCCCACATCCCCACGGGCGAATGTACATGACGCTCTTCACTCTCGTGATAGAGCCAATTTCCTTTGCTGCAAAGGCTAATATATATATATATATATATATATATATATATATATATATATATATATATATATACACATTCATTTAGCGAATCTTTTGCTGCCTTTGTTGCGTTCAAAAGAACGACTTGCGATGGTAGGCGAGCACCGAATGTTCACTCGGCCAATTAGCAGTGTAACGTATTAGCCAGCGTGCCTCATGGCATCTATTTGGGGACGCTTGGGAGAGGAATAGCCTAGCCACAGGAAGTAGGGTTTTTTCCGTAAAGGGAAGAAACGCGGAAAACGGGAGACACAAGGCTTTGGGAGTTTCCGGCTTATAGAAGATTTTCACTTTAACAAGCGAGGGGGTGGCGTGACGTAGGAAGGTTCACGTGGGCCTCGCCTATATAACAGAGTTGTACAGAGCCAGTGGGTGGGTTCTGGAGTAAGCGGAGAACCTCGTGCGTGTGCACAAAACTTGGGCCACGACGTGTGCATATGCGAGCCAGGCTCGCGAGGCTGGAGTCACTAGTTGACGAAGCTGCGGACTTTATGTCCCTGGTGACTGCGGTCACGGGGGAGCGATGCTGTGTGCGTGCTCCGAGGTGAAGAGTGGTTGAGTGCCACGATTCACGCCGATTCTCAATCGGATAAGATCGCTCCTGCGTTCGAGGCAAACAGCCGTTGGGTGCGCCAGACGGACTTTGTGTCCCAGCGTGACATCCGGTCACGGAAGCTAGGCTTTGTGCGCGCTTCAAAAGTAGGAGTGGCGAATGCCACAATCAAAATCATCTTCAATTGGTTTGGATCGCTCCGCGATCAGGGGAT